GGAGGGGGCTGTGATGGGGGGTCCAAGGGGTGCCTAATGGAGTCCCTGGAGGGTCCCTAGGGGGGTCCCTGGGTGTCCTTAGGGGGCCCTAGGGGTGTCTATGGGGGGATCCATAATGGGGGGGTCCCTGAGTGGGGGTCCATGGAGGTCCCTGGGAGGGTCCCTGAGGGTCCCCATAGGGGTGTCCCTGGGAATCCCTGCGGGATCGATGGGTATCCCCAGGTGCCCCCATAAGGGGTCCCTGACGGAGAGGGTCCCTGGGGGTCCCCAAGGGATATCCGTGGGGGTTCCATGATGGGGGGTCCCTGAGTGTCCCCACAGGGGGTGTCCCTGGGGGTTCCACAATGGGGGGTCCCTGGGAGTCCCCATAGGGTTTCCTAGGGGGATGTTATGGGGGGGTCCCTGGGGTTCCCACAGGGTCCCCCCACAGGGGGTCCTTGGGGGTGTCCATGATGGGGTGTCCCCATACAGGGTCCCCAGTGGGGTGTCATGGAGGGGGTCCCTGGGGGTGTCCATGATGGGGGTCCCTGGGGTCCCCACAGGGGGTCCCTGGGAGTTCCACCATGGGGGTCCCTGGGGGTGTCCATGATGGGGGTCCCTGGGGGTGTCCACCATGGGGGTCCCCAGGGGTTCCCACAAGGGGTCCCTGGGGGTCTCCACCATGGGGGTCYCCRGGGGTYCCCACARGGGGTCCCTGGGGGTCTCCACCATGGGGGTCCCCGGGGGTCCCCCGGTCCCCGCGGTCGCTCAGGGCGTGCGGGGGGGCAGGGCCACGCGGTAGAGCAGGCGGCCGGTGGCCTCCAGGAAGGTGACGGTCATGGCGGCCGCGTCCAGGCGCACGTGGGCGAAGGCGCCGGGCGACGCGGGGTCCCCGAAGAGGAAGCGCAGGGCGCCGGGGGGGACGGCGCCCGCGTGGCGCCGCGACGGCACCATGAAGTTCCCCGCGCCGCTCACCACGTAGGCGACCCCCTCGTCCTGCAGGAACTGGGGACGACAGGGGACATTGGGGACATGGGGACATGGGGACATSAGGGGTATTGGGGGGACATTCCTGAGGTGGCGCTGATCAGCATGAAGGCCACCCTCGTCCTGCAGGAACTGGGGACACAGGGATGTTGGGGGAATGTTGGGGGGACCACAGGGGTCATTGGGGACCCATATGGGGGATACAGGGAATATGGGGGTTTGACAGACATACCCCTATGTCCCCCCTTGTGTCCCTGTGTCCCCATTGTCCCAATGTCCCCATGTCCCCCATGTCCCCCAATGTCACCTGCACGCTGTGGTCGTGCCCGCTCAGGTAGGTGCTCATGTGTCCCCGTGTCCCCCATGTCCCCGTGTCCCCCATGTCCCCCATGTCCCCTGTCTCCGTGTCACCTGCACGTTGTGGTCGTGCCCGCTCAGGTAGGCGCTCATGTGTCCCCGTGTCCCCCATGTCCCCGTGTCCCCAATATCCATGTCCCCGTGTCCCCCATGTCCCCTGTCCCCCCCATCCCCGTGTCACCTGCACGTTGTGGTCGTGCCCGCTCAGGTAGGCGCTCACGCGGTGCTGCTGCAGCAGCGGCCGCAGCTCCCGCACCAGGCACTGGGTCGGGCCGTGCTCGCCCGCTGACCACAGCGGGTAGTGTCCGGCCACCAGCAGGTACCGGGTGTCCCCCGCGGCTGCCAGGCGCCGCCGCAGCCACCGCAGCTGCGCGGCCGCCGCGCCCGGACGCCGGGGCCCCCGCGGTGACGCCGTGTCACCCACGTCGCCATCGTCGCTGTCCCCGCACAGCAGCACCGTGTCCAGCACCAGCAGCCGCGCGGTGACGTTGGCGCCCGGCAGCGCCCAGCGCACGCTGTAGTAGGGGTGCGGGAAGTGCCTGCGGGGACACAGGGACATGGGGGACATGGGGACACAGGAGGGACATGGGGACATGGCAGGGACATGGGGGGACACGGCTGGTGTGGGGACGCTGTAGTAGGGGTGCGGGAAGTGCCTGTGGGGACACAGGGACATGGGGGACATGGGGGACATGGGAGGGACACAGGGGGACATGGAGGACATATGGATGGGGGTGACACAAGGACACATAAGGACCACGGGGGGGCACCCATGGACATGGGGACACAGGGAGCCCTGGGGACACTGACCAGCGTGGGGACAGCGGGATGGGGACACGGAGACACCCAGGGCACCCTTGGGGACATGGGGAGCCCTGGGGACCGCTTGGGCACACAGGGATTCCTGGGGACACAGGGACACCCTTGGGGACCCCTTGGGGACTGGGGGACACCCAGGACACCCTTGGGGACCCCTTGGGGACACGGGGATACCCTTGGGGACACTGACCAGCGTGGGGACAGCTGCGAATAGGCCACCTGCGCGGTGACGTTCCCGGCGTGGTCGTGGTTCCCGGCCAGGACCAGCCAGGGCAGCGGGCGCAGGGCGGGCGCCGAGAAGACCTGCTCGAAGGTGCTCTGGGGACA